AAAATCCCACGGTTGAAGTTCCAAGACGATCTCTTAAAAAATCAGAATTTACTACTATGGTCCGCCATATTGCATCCGCCATCTTGAATTTCGGAATTCTAATGTTAATTTCGTAATCAGTGAGTCCAAAAACCTTTATGTTAGAAGTTTTAAAATGATCCGTTGGAAAACAGTAAAATACGCTACATGCGCCATATTGAATCCGCCATTTTTGAAAAAACCTAGGGTGATGGAGCAAAACGGGACCTGGATTCGGATTCAGGGGCTCAAAATACATACCGGAAACCTACTCCGGTCCGAGTAAATTTTTGAAAATTTTTTTTTGTAGACCTGTGTTATCGATGTAATATTAAAAAAAGGTACGCCAAATGCTTTTTTGTGTAAATTATTATAATTTTTTTTAACATTATTGTATTTCTCTAATTATTTTATTTTTTATTTAATAATATATGTATTATTACATGTATAGTAGATTAACACTTTAATATATAATATATATATAAAAGCACATTTTGCATGTTTGGATCGTAATTAAATATACCAATAATATAAGTTTGTTGATTTTTTTTATTGATATTCACTGCTGTATAGGTATTATTAAAATAAGAACCGTTTGTCTATAAAAAAAAGTACGCCAAGGATTTTTTGTGTAAGTTATTATACTTATTAATTATCTATGCTTTTATTTATTCATTCTTACTCACTTATATATTCCTCTTGTCTTTCCATCTCGCTCTCTTATGGTTTTTTTACCGTCTTATCATATATCTTCATTTTTTCTTCCTTCTCTTCATTTCTTCTCACACATTCTCTCCTTTCTCTCTTTATTTTCTTCTCCTTTTCTTTTTCTTCTTGTTTTATCTTCTTATTATTTAATTTAGCTATAAAAAGTAAAAACGACACAAAGTATTCACGTTTTATATTGTTATATATTTTTATTTTAGTCGGAGACAGAGATATTTACTTTCTCTCTCCTTCGCTTCCTCCCTCCCTCCCTCCCAACCCTTCTCTCTCTCTCAATCTTTCTGTCTCTCTCTCTCCCACTTTCTTATTATTATTTATTATTTATTTTATTATTTATATCTCGACGTCTATATATGACTTATTTAATTTACTAATAAAATATAGGCGCACACTATTTAAATAATAAAAACAATAAAAAATAC